TGGTTGCAATTGCATTAATTGGAGAAAAAGAGAGAGAATTTCTCTGTTCTTTTGAAATGGCAAGGATCCACTGTATATGGTTGCCCAGGTTCATTTTAGTTATATGCACCATACTTACATAGGAGATTTCCTTTTAATAATTTGGCTGTTCTGATTGATTCATGAATTTCACCTTGTCTGCCTTTTATGTTTCGTAGTTTTAACCTGATTTTTAATTGGGTTTTAAATAGTTAATTATTAGGTGTATATTTATTATTGTATTTTGTTTACCAAATTGTTTGGTTCTTTAATTATGTGAATGATATTGAATAAATAAATAGATAAATAAACTCAAATATTGCCTGATTCTCAATGGCTTTGGGCAGCATCCAAGAATCAAAGAAACTGAAGTTGAAGGTCATACTATGCTTAAGCACTGCTAGCTACCTAAGATAAGCTGCAGGGCCATGTCAGATTGATTGATAAAGAGAGTTTCAGAGTTTTCCTTAAGTCAATTTGATCCTTGGACTCTTGTAGTCACGTTCTACTATCCTCAATAAGGCTGAAGTTAGTGCAACAGCTGAGACTGGGCATGGGTTTGAGCAGGAACCAGGAATCCAGAAGGCTACCCAGATTGCAGACCTGCTTCTTCATGAGTAGTGCCTGCCAATTATGAAACAATGTTGGTGGCAACAGAGAATGCCAATGTACGAACAGCAACTCTGACTCAGGTTCAGATTCATCCTAGTCTGGGAGGTAGGCTATTCCACAGACCAAGTTACCCCTGGACCAAGTGTAGTGTTGTGACCCAGGCCCAAGTAGGTATTATCAGGCGCAATCAGTTCCAAACAAACAGACTTTACTAGAACAGCTGAGAATTAACTCATTCTCAGCGTAGTCCAAAGTAATTCAAAACAAATTCTTCATAACACAATTCTTCAGCCTTATCACCAACCTTGGCCTACTGTGGCAAACTGCCAAAGGCTTTTCTTGGCAAAAGTTCAGAAGCAGAAGACGCCAACAAGAAATAAATGCAGCAAGACAAGAAACAAATCTATCAACGTTGTTTTCCGACAAAGAGCCCAAGAGCCGTTGCTGGTCTTTTAAGCCTTATGGGAGGGCCAATCATCTCTTGGCCTTGCTCTTTTTGCTTTAGCTGCTCTTGCCTTCTGGCAGCTCTTCTCATGCGTGCACTAGGAACAGGCTCCTCCTGTTCCTCTGCCTTTCTGCTGTCAGACTCTGGAGGCTCCGGAGTCTGCACATCACTCCCAGATGGCCTGGCCCCATCTCTGCCCTCCAATGCAGAGCCCTCATCCGGGCCTTCCCCAGCCTCCAGGACTGGCCCATGTTCTTCCTCAGCCTCCTCACTGTCCAACTCCACTGCCAGCTCTGCAGGCTGCTGGCGGACCACAACATGTAGCTTCTGAGTTAGCTTCTGAAGCATTAGCTTCAAGGCTAATGCCATGTGGAATACATTGCAATAGACCAAATGGAAGATGACCAAGACTTGGGGGACAGTAAATAGGGTCTCCTGATCCAGGAATGGGAACAATTGATATACACAAATGGATTTGTACAATACCTCTAGGGCATAAATGGCATCTACTCCTTGATCAGGAGCTGAGAGTTCAGGAAGATTCCCACATTGCACACCAGTTCTGTTGGGATGAGTGCTATTCCATTAAAAATGAATGATGGAAATTCCCTGAATGGCCCCCAAATCCATAGCTGCTATGGTTGAATCTAAGCCTTTCTCATCCATCCATAAGGAGATTGATAAGCTTATTGATGGGAAAAGATAGAGGAAAATAGAGGAGGCATTGACATCTGTCATGAGTGAAATATCAGGACTACACATGAAGTTCCAATTGAACTAATTTATACTAATCAGAGGAATATACTCAATTAATAGTTAGCACTATCTTGGCACTAGTTAAGGTCAAAGGAGTTCAAGAGGGATTGGACTTAATCCATTTGTGGCTATGTAGAAACTCTTTTGACTCCACCCTTAATTTCTACCTGTCCTTCTTCTACAACATCTGACAACTCAGGACATAATATGACCAACATGCTGACAATACCTAATTGTACCTTGCTACCTCAGACTAGGGTGGCTCAGTGGCTAAGATGCTGAGCTTGTCGATCAGAAGGTCAGCAGTTCAGCAGTTCGAATCCCTAGCACCGCATAACAGGGTGAGCTCCCGTTTCTTCTCCCAGCTTCTGCCAACCTAGCAGTTCGAAAGCACGTAAAAAAATGCAAGTAGAAAAATAGGGACCACTTTGGTAGGAAGGTAATAGTGCTCTGTGTGCCTTCGGCATTTAGTCATGCTGGCCACATGACCACGGAGACGTCTTTCGACAGCGCTGGCTCTTCAGCTTCAAAACGGAGATGAGCTCCGTCCCCTAGAGTCGGGAACGACTAGCACATATGTGCAAGGGGAACCTTTACCTTTACCTTTAACCCTGCCGATTATTATTGACTACTACTACCGGTTTGCAAATTGTGGTCTGACCATTTTGAATGGTGTTCTCTCAGATCATCCCTGAAACACAGATAGTTGGAAGTTATTCCTTTTCTATTCTCTTTACAGGTAGTTCTTGTCTTAACAACCATTCGTTTAGTGACTGATCAAAGTTATAATAGCACTAAAAAAAGTGACTTATGACTATTTTTCACAGTTACGACCTTTGCAGCATGCCCATGATCACGGGATCAAAATTCAGATGCTTGGCAACAGGTTCATACTTACGGCCATTGCTTTCTCCCAAGGCCATGTGATCACCTTTTGTGACCTTCTGACAAGCAAAGTCAATGGGAAATCCAGATTCACTTAACAACCAGTTACTAATTTATCAACTGCAGTGATTCACTTAACTATGTGAAAGAAAAGTTGTAAAGTGGGGCAAAATTCACTTAACAAATATCTCACTTAAACAACTAGCACGCATGTTACCTTTACCTTACCTCAGACTAGGGTAGATATAGTTAATATTATTTCCTGTGTCTGAATCTGAATGTGATATTAAGTTACTGTTTGTACATTGCAGTTCTCAGTTACCACCAATGTTGTTTCTTAACCATGAAGGAGTAGGTCAGCAATTTGGGTGTTCTTCTGAATTTATGGTTCCTGATTAAATCCATGCCCAGGCTTAGCTGGGCACTAACTGCAGCCTTTTTGAGAGTAGTGCAACCTGACCACAAAAAAACAAAGGATCACTTTGACCTCTCATTGCTGGCAGCGTTTTCAAGCAATACAGAAAACAGAGAGAGTTACTGAGATCAGCCTAATCAGGACAAAGTGGCATGCTTGAAGTCCACTGTAAACTAAAGTTAGACAAATGCCTAAGATAAAAACCACTACTATTTGAATATTCAGCAGACTTCCCCAAATACCATTCCACAATTTACAGGTCAACAAAGCCTTCTTAATTTTTTTATTATCAGTATGTAAATATTCTACAGTATTTAATTTATTATCAAAATTTATGAATGTTAAGTTATAAATCAAAAGATACTATTGGAAAAAAAATATTATACTGTTTGGATTAGAGGGTATTATAGAGCAGGGGCCTCCAACCTTGGCAACTTTAAGACTTGTGGACTTCAACTTCAGCTTTGCTGGTTGAGGAACTCTGGGAGTTGAAGTCCACAAGTCTTAAAGTTGCCAAGGTAGGGGACTCCTGTTATAGAGGATAAATATTGTTACAAATGAAGGCAAATATATGTGACCTAGGATCATGTTGCAGGATCCAGTGTGCTTTGGGCTAGTCTCTGTGTAGTATTTATGTGGTGCCTGGTTGTGTGTGGCTTTTTAGTTGTTGATTGGGGTGTTGATGGCTGGCTATTAAGTAATTGGCTGTTGTTTCCTTGTCCTGCCAAGCCCTTGGCTCCTAAGTACTTGATAAGCTGGTGGTAAATCAGCACTCTTCTTGACTGACAAGGAGCCTATTTTCCCAGGCTTCAATCATAAGAGGGCCCCTAAATAGCCCAAAGCACACATTCTGCTAAGAGAGAAGTTCCCTGAGGAGCGGCTCCAGGACAAGTCCAAAAGCTTGGAAGACTAAACCTCTGGTCCCGGTGACTGACCCAGATTGGATTCTGCATACATATTGTTTATTGCTAAAAGGAATAGAATGTATGATTCTTCTGATAGACTGTGAATCTTATTTTTATTACTGTACTACAGAATTCTTTGATAAAATATAAGTTGGTGCATTTTCCTTAAGGATGCAATCCTATGGTTCCTGGGATAGCGTACCTATGCCTGGGGAACTGTTAAATTTGAATTTCGGGAAGTCTGATCTTAGATGGAGAGGGCTGCCATTGGATTTCATATTCTTTGCCAACTCTCATTGTTCAAGCATTAAAAGTATGGAAGTTAAAGATAAACAGTAACAGAGTTGGAAGGAACTTTGGAGGTCATCTAGTCCAACCCCCTGCTCACACAGGAAACCTGTACTAGAGATTTGAACCACCGAACTGCCAACCTTTCTGATCAACAAGCTCAGTGTTTTAGCCATTGAGCCACCTAGTCAGGCTAGATGAAGGCCCTATGAAGTTCAAAAAGTCATCCTGAAGACTTGATAGGGGAGCACACATAGCTTGAGGGTTATAGATCTTCTGCCCTACCCACAACAGATAGGAAAGTTTTGAACAGTATTTAGACCAGAGGTCTTCAAACTTGGCAGCTTTAAGACTTGTGGACTTCAACTCTCAGAATTCTCCAGCCAGCATGATTTAGACGGTATGATTTATCTTATTGTCTGCATGGGTAATTCCATAATAGAAGAAAGATTGGCAGCCCAAGGTAATAATTAAAACAATGCATGTCCCTGACTCCCTATTTTATTTCTTTATTACAATTATTTGTATCTGATCAGAAAAAACTGCCCTCCCAGATCACTTACATGCAATTGTCATGGAAGAATAAAAAATAATATTTAAAAATAAAGAAATGAGTAGAATCTTTCCACAGTGCAACTCAAGTATTGGATATTTTCTCCTCCCTCTCTCTTCTCAGATGTTTCTTGAAGAGCATTGGGGCACATTAGGATAAGAAGCAAAGAATTCAGCTGAGCAGGCTTCTGTAGGCATCTTTCTTCCAAAGTAAGTTAATTGAAAACCAAATAGTCCTTTGTTTTGCTATCAATTTAAATCTAGCCATGTGGAAGATACCTAAGTAAGGATATAATAGATGATTTGGGGAAATAAAAATATTTATTTTGAGGCTGATTTACAGTGTTAAAAAGACAAACAAAAACTTAGTTTGCAACTTGGCAGTTGTGGGAAGCCATCCCCTCCCAGAAAAATGAAATTTTTAGGAAATATTAAAAAGGCAGAATATTGTAATGCCCTAAAGGAGAAATAGAGAAACATGCTCTTGGAGACAGAAAGCAGCCCCCAAGTCTTTCTTAATAGCCCCCAGGAGATATTTTATGCCCATTGAGAAAGATTGGGCCAGCCTATCTATAAAACAAAGACCTCCAGCTCCAGGATGATGGGATTAAGACATGACCCCTCAGATCATAATAGGATTAACGCTCTACCATCTAGTAGCAGAGCTCACCACATTGCACAATCTCCTGGGGACATTGAATCACCTTCCAGGTTTCAACCAAGCGTAGCTCAGACAACCTACAGAGCCAGCTATGACCCCTACAACATCCAATAGAATACATGTTCTTGCACAGGAACAGGAAGCTGAAGTTCAAAGCCCAAGATAAGGTATAAAAATCCCTCACTCTCAACTCCATGTGGGCAGCTGCCCAGAACCCATATGGTTCTGCTTCATCAATAACCCATATTTCCAATCAGCCTCCATGTTTCCAGTGTCTTTCTCCTGGATTGGAACTGAACCATATAGATATTTCTTCCAACACAGTGTTTGCATTCTGCTTTTCTAAAGAAAACTAGTTTTTTCAATATTCATTGTCATTCCTTCCAGTTATTTTTTTCAGACAACTGATTTATTTAACTATTTTTACATTTATTATTCTCATGGAAATTCTATATGACTGTTACTTTAAACCAATATTCCTCAACCAAGATAACCTTATCAGTGGAATTTCCAAGAGCTGGTAGAACAATATACAGAAACTGAAGGGAAATTAGTTGGGAAAGATTACTTTAAATTTTAGCATTCACGCATTGACCTCACTTTTTCAAATATTTATGGGATTACTCTCCTACAAAGGTTTAGATTGAACTGCCAATCTAGAATGATAGGCCAGTTATTACTCACTAATCTCCTTGCCTTCAAACCCCAAACAACAATCCCTTCTTAAGCTCCTGATACAGACAAAAGTGCAGTGTTCCTTATCACTGTATATGCCTGAAGAACTTCATGCATGCTAAAAGTTAGGAAAATGGGAAAGATTAAGTGAACAAATAAGAAAAAGTCAAGTTTAAACATTATTCATTGATACTGAACAATTGGGGAAGAATTATTTCTTAGGAAAGCCAAACGACTTAACTATAAAAATGTTCTGAAAACTGTAAGTGCTTTTAACCCTTAAAAATGGTGCTTGATTTTGTAGATGTATATGTACTGCAGCTGTAGTAGTGTGCATGTCCAAAAATTTAATACTGCTGGATTTTTGACAGTGTTGCAGTCAGAGATGACCCAAGAGCTGAACCAGGTTGAATCAAAGCCAAGGAATAATAAGAGCATATCTAAGGAGAACTCATTGATCAGGAAGAATGCTGCCTGTTCTTGGGGAGAAGACAGTCTTTGTTGACAAAGATGTTCCAAGTGCAGTGGTTATAAAACATCACAAATGGGAAAGAGTGCCTGAACACAGAACCAAATGCTCTTATCCTGGTAGATCAACCTCAACAACCTCAACAACAAAAGATAGGTGGACTTCAGCTCTTAGACTTCCCCAGCATACGCCAGATATTACAATTTCCAGCCAGATACATATATCCTATACATACATACATACATACATACATACATACATACATACATACTGCGAAATATAAATTTGGTATAAAATGGTTTGTCGTGAATGCGACTGCTTGAGGGCTTTTGGATTGGAGCTGAAAGGCAAAAGGGATGCAGTATGCTCTCTCCCACATGCTGGGGTAGACCAAGTGTCTTGATAGAAAAACATTTAATCTATCCCCTAGCTCAAGATGATGAAGGGAGGAGAACTTGTGGCTCAGAGGTTAATACAACTGCCTAACATGCAGGCAGCCCAAGTTCGAATCCAAGTAAGGGTATGGCTAGCTGATGAGAGCTAAATAGCTTGAAATAGATCTATACTAGTCTCCCTTTATTTCTTTATCAGTAAAATATAAATTATACACACACACACACACACACACACACACACACACACATATAATTTGGAGATGCTGAAAGTAGTAACTGGGTCCTTACGCAGACAAAATATGAGATGTGTCACAAAATTGCCTCTCTTCCTTTAAATGCAGGAGATTATCAATCGAGCTCAAAAATATTTGATGGCGAAGGCAGTCACGTTTCTGAATCTTCCTAGCAATTCTATGTAGTTAGAGCATATGGATCCTACTCTGAGGTCAAGGTCACCCCTGCAATTTCTCTTACTTATCCAAGATGAAAGCAACTTGTTTATTAATCAAATTTATAGAGCCACACATCTCATGAGAAGTGACTCTGGGCAGTTAGACATTTTTGTTCTGTGTTGGTTGTGATACAATGCAGTTGCTCCTGCTAAATTTCCTGCTCTATCCATCTGTGCTTTCACTCCTTAATATGCCAATAACAATAGAAGAAATATATTTATGGGACATTTGTCATATGGCATGCATATGTGCTGCATATGTGCTGCAGCGTTTACTTTTTTTTTTTTTTTTACTGACATACAGCTTTGCCAAACAATAACTCTAAAACCTTGTTCCCACATTACCTCCTCTCTGAATAGAAATTCATCTTCCATCATTTTTAAAATCATGTATTATTTTACTGGAAGAAAACTCTAATCTAAACAATGCAAGGATATTTATAAAACAAACAAAAACATCTAGCTTGTAGAAGTATAATCTAAGATGTATTTTCAACTTTTGTTTACCATGTGCCAAAAATAATACTGTGCTCTTACATTTTATTAATCAATTCTACTTTTTGTTTTTAATTATGGAGCATATGTTTCTCTGTTTATCCTGTAGCTTTTTAAAATATACAGTTGATACTTTATTCATACATTGATGTTCCAACCTTCATTTTTGGAAAGAGAAATGTCCAAGATGGTTAGGACCCTTTATATACAATGAAAACCACAGAATCCAAAGAGAAAGGTTGTGTGTTAAAATCTTAATTTTAGCACCACCATTAAGAACAGAAGGAGGAGGAGAAAACTAGAAAACAAAGTGAAAAATATTATTTCAACAGCTAAATAAATAAATGCTGTTAAGTATAGAATAGACGGGCACAGGGACCAATCAGGAGCCAGTAGCTACAGTGGGAAAATTAAGCGCGTGTCAGTGGCTGAAGCCGCGGACAGCTCCGGTTTAAAAAGGGCTGCCGCGGCTCACATTGCCATTGCTGTACTGGAGTTGAATAAAGCTGTTGAACTGCCGAATGTGTCCTGTGTCCTCTGTCTGCGCCCACTATTCAACAAATGCTACATTATTATTTTTAACAGATTCCCACTTTGTATCTTGCTCTACCAGTCAGACCTAGAAAGAGCCGTGGTGGTGCACTGGTTAGAATGCAGTATTGCAGGCTAACTCTGCCGACTGCCAGCAGTTTGATTCTCACTCCAGGTTGACTTCCATCCTTCTAAGGTCAATAAAATGAGGACCCAAATTGTTGGAGGCAAGATACCAACTCTATAAACCATTTAGAGAATGCTGTAAAACACTATATACAGTAAGTCTAAATGTTATTGCTATGAAAATCAAGACCAATCTCTTTTACACTTATACACTTCTGGGCCACCATCTAGCCAAAGTAAGTCCAAGTCCTATCTATGAGAATATTTCTTCATATTATATGTATTACACATTAAGCTTTAAAATAATGCTTTAGTTTGAAGAAGACTTGATCAAATCAGAACTTCAAATGGAAACTTTGAATGAAATCACTGAATTGATACGATGCAACAAATCAAACAAAGCCCTTAAGATGGCTTTGGGAAGCTTCAAAATTGATGTGCAGATCCTCTGGATTTTCTAGTACGTTTGGCTTTGTGTCATCCCAAATATGGTAACGTTGCTAAACCCCTTTAGCAATGTTACAGTATTTGAGACAACACAAAACCATAACGTGAATTGGCTGCCTGGTATTGTTACATGTAAACAATCAATGAGTTTTATCAACCTTGCAAACCCTGCTTACCAGACTGTGCAAGTGCTTCACTGCCCTTTGTGTCTCAATCTTCTGTTAAAATCTTTAAAGGAAGTTTCATTTAGTAGCAGTGAGGGAGAGATTTGATTTATTCTGCTGCTCTTTTTAAATCTGGTTTATGCTATGATCCTCTCAAAATCTCTATCATTTTATCTTTACCCTTATCCTTCTCTAGCTCTTAATCTATCTGTCTGACCTGTAGCATGATCTTGGTCAGTCTCCATGTCCAATCTATTAATAGTTCTTCAGCTCTTTTACTGCCCCTTTCAATTCCCATACATGCTTGCTACATTTTCCTTTAAATAACCATTATTAGCTTTTATTGCCTGTCTGATTCTTTGTTCACCCCCTTCCACCAGTAAAGAAGACTATGCCCTACTATGCTTGCTGATAAATAATTGCCATATGATTTAATGTTCTTATATCAGGGATGAAATCCAGCAGGTTCTGACAGGTTTTGGAGAACCAGTAACGGAAATTTGGAACAGTTCGGAGAACCGGTAGCGGAAATTTTGAGTAGTTTGGAGAACCAGCATATACCACCTCTGGCTGGCCCCAGTGTGGGGTGGGAATGGAGATTTTGCAGTAGCCTTCCCCTAGGAGTGGGGAGGGAATGGGGATTTTGCAATATCCTTCCCCTGCATGCCCACCAAGCCACACCCACCAAGCCACACCACACCCATCAAGCCATGCCCACAGAACCGGTAGTAAAATAATTTGGATTTCACCACTGCCTTATATCATACTATATACATAATAGTGATGACATACATGCCTCTCAGACCTTTTAAGAAATGTTGTATAAGCATAATTTCTAAAACAGGCTAATATTATACGGTCCAATTTAGGGTGTTAGGTTCTTCAAAAATTAATGACAGTTTAATCTTAAAATAAATTTTGAAGGTTGTTTTTAAATTAGAGTGTTTCGGTTTCTGTGCAACTTTGTTAGATAATTTGGAATCCTCCTTTCTGCTATTGCAGCTTTAAAAGAGGAGCAGGAGGTCATTTAAATTTAAAGTGGATCTTGGTTTGTTTACACTCCTTTGTATTCTGGATTGAGAATGCTCAGTTAGGATAAATTCATATTGAAGCTTAATTTAAAAGAGTTTCTCTTAATGTGCAGTTGTTATGAAGAATGTAATGTGATTAATTAATTGTGATGAAGTCAGGAATGTAATTAATGTGATGCTTTTCCTTCTAATGGCGCTCACAGATTCACTCTACTACTAATACACTGACTTTTTATAAAATAAAATAAGATGGTCTTCTACAGATGTCTTTGTGGCAATGATTTCTAACTCTACTCTGGACTTACTGGGATAGCAAACATTATTCCAAAGTGCAAATAAACCTTCTAAAAAATGGGTATTTTAAAAAGAGGCAGAGGCTATGATGGTTATAAAACTGTTTTAATCACATGTTCCCCAACCCACAATGTTTGCCTGGTCCTCCTAATTTCATTTATTCTGTTAAATGATCTTTCTGGACATTTGCCACAGATTCTCTCTAATGATGCCACAGACCTAGTGTTAAACTGGTCCCCAAATAAAGCAAATTGACTCTGACTTGACTGTTATAGCCACAAAAATCATAAACAGAAATTTAGATAGAGATGTGTCTCTACCAGGTTCTTTTGTGACATGTTAAATTCAGGCAAATATTGCAGAAAGCATATTAAAATAAGTTCAACTATTCGCTATAGCTCCATTAGCAAATTTATGACAACTGCCCAACATAATGGCAATTTGGGTTCTTTAAAACATTCAAGTGTAATTTAAACTTCCATGCAATCTATATAGGTCAAAGGAAGAAAGATAATTTTTCATGCTTTTGCTTGGATAAAATTGCCTCTTCTAACTCTTAATTAACAGCCCGTTTGACATGGTTGTAAAGTATGCTCATTCTAGGCCATAACATGCTGCCAAACTTCATATTTCAACGTTATCTACGTTGCTATTTTAGACAAGTTAAAATATGTTTTACTAATAAAACATGAACATATTTTACTGACAAAACAAGCATTTATAGTTCAGGCAGCAATAAGGCTGGCAATACTTGATCATCTTTCGAGACAAGGGGAAATGCTTATATTAATTTTTTTAAATATAGGGTTGGAGATTTGCTACTTTGTAAAATCAGATTGAACAAATTCATTTGGATTTAAGTAGATAAACATTTCTGGGCTCATTTGTTTGCTTTGGATAAGCAAATTGTATTATTGTTTGCATTTTAGACTGTTAGATGATGTCAGTAAACCACCCACGAATCTTTCAGGATGTTTACAAGGATATCAAAAAATATGATCAAAATCACTGTTTGGTTTCAAGACATCCAGCACACATCCACACAAACACACACGTACACACTACTTTATCAAAATCAAGATTTTGAATATAGAATACTAGATTGGAGAATATATAACTTTGTACTGAATTTGTACTGGTCAAAGTAGCTTGAAGGTGATCAGTAGTTAATTGTTTTACTTTTGCTATAGCTACAATTATAGACATAAAATA